ACAATAAAATGAAATTTAGGTTTCAGTTTAGTAGTAGGAAATAGCTCTCTGAAACAACTATGGTGATCTTTAATTATATAAGATAAATATGATATATAAGACGAATTAATCTTTGGAGCAAGTACAATGGTTACAATTTCTTTCAACAATAACAAAAGGTGCCATGCAGGTTCAGAATCAAGAATGTTTTGGCCAATAAATAATGGTTAAAATCTCAAAAAGCACCACATGCGTGCAGCAGTCATTTTAATCCCCATCTGAAAGTTCTCTGAAATTTCCATTGGGCAGTTGGCAGCATCATGGAATCCAAATTTGCAATTTTTAATTTTATAATTTGATTGTAATAGTGTTATATACTTCTTAAGAATCAAGTGATTTACGATCAGCCCCAGCTCAAATGGAACAACCCCTTCAAGTAAATCATGCATTGCATCTGATGGGAACATAGTACTACAATGAAAATTCTTTAAGCAATTAAAAGGGCAATTGCATTTTATGCCATAAACAAAGGTCAATTTTTATCAAAGACAAATGATGATTATACAAATCTTTTGTTCGTCGTACAAATTTAAAACCTTCAAAGTGATCCTGAATTTCATTTTTTGTTGCTATACAGAAATGAAAACAGCGTACATTTCCAGAAAAATTAGTAACATAGCCACCTATCTGATGAGAAGCTAAGTTGTCACCCACTATGGAAACAATTCCACCCTTAACTTTACCAGATATACCAAACAAAGTTATCCCATCACTTTCTAATTAAATATTTTTAGATATTTTATCAAAGGTTCCAGAACATTATCAAAACCAAAATGTTTTATATCTGAGGACTTACATAAAACAGCTAATTGCATATCTCTAACAGATGAACGGTACTTAGATGGGATATTACACAGGGTAAAATAAAATGCAGCCAGTTTCTGTTTTGCTTGTCTACCTCTTAATGGGTTAAAACACATAAATTCATCGAAATAAAGTAAAATTTGTATATTAGGAAAATTCTGAAAAAGAGGATTGCTCTTAAAGATAGTTCCGTCATGTATATCTGACAAAATGTTTACATCATTTTCTCTGCTAGAAAGAATATGATTCAAAACTTCTCTATTTTTACAAAATACTTGAAGGGTTTCTAAAATAGGTGCATACTGATAATTTGATACTTGCATACCAGCCTTTAACATATACTGCACAGGTTCAACAAAATTAAAATTTTCCTTCAAAAAATTCTTTTGTAAGTGCAGTGATTTCATTACATTAAATACAGGGTATAAATCTCTCATTTCACAGTTATTTAACAAATTTAAAACAGTATTAGTATTTATATTGTTTCCTTCTTTTTTCAAAGTTTCAACTATAGACTGCTTAGTTAGTAAAACTGTTTCATTTTGGAGTTCATTTACTTCATTTATTAATTCCAAGGTGGTTAACTGAGGTAACAAAAATTTTTCCTGCATTTTCAAAATAAACAATGCAATATTTCTATTGTAGTCACCTATTTGTATGAAATTTTCATTACATATTTCAATACTATTAGGGATGTTAGTATACTGCAACTCTGATATACTTGTATTTTTAAACTGCATAAAGAACTCAGGCTTAAAATCATTTAATGCATAATTAATGGTACCTTGACAAATGCGATTTAAAAGATGAAAAATTTTTGAATGTTCGCCAACAATTATTTAAGGGACATGAAATAATATGATGTTTTTTAAAATGTAAAATAAATTTACATTTAAAACATGACTGGAATCCACAAACTTTACATGTTAATTTGGTGTCTAGACTTTTAATTTTAAACTCTTTGTGTTGATATAAGTGCTTTTTAAATGCTGAAATGTTTGAAGTGCTGCAGGACAGTTGTTCAAGCCACAAAAATATCGAAAATTTGGGTCATGTCTATGAAAGGTTCTAACATGTGATAAGTACAAATGAACATTATAGAAATTTTTATCACAATGGGCACAACGAAACATACTGGAAATATAAAATTTACAAAGATTAGAAAATAAACTAAAATTTACAAAGATTAGAAAATAAACTATCACAAGTAGCATTTAATATATTTCAGATTTCAGGTTTGTAATGCAAAATATATATATATATATATTTCTATAATTGCATGTATATTAAAATACAGATGAACGGCATTCTGAGGAAAAAAAAAAAACTTGACAAAAGTAAGCTTGAAATTAAAATTTTTTAATTTTACACAAAAATCTATAAAAACATAAAAGCAAAACATTCTACTTTAATGACATCGTATGATAAAGATTTATAACTTTACTAAGTATTGTAGCACTGATTTAAAAAAAAAAATAATGCTTTAAAAATTTTAGAGTACAACATATTTCTTTCGGATAGCTTATGTTCATAGTGTAATAAAAGCATAATAATAATGCAACATCTGAAGTAAAATCTTTATTAAACTTAAAATTTCATTTTCTGCAACTATGCAGAAATGGGATGAAGAAGCAATGTGTCCAATTGTAAAAATTTTAGGTGAAACTGACTGCAGCGTTTCTTCAACATCAGCTGGAACCTAAAAAAAAAAAAAAAAAAAAAAAAAAAAAAAAAAAAAAAAAAAAGGAAAAATTCAGTAACATTTATAAAACTGGACTTTTTTAATAATAAAATATTTTATTGCCAGAATAGTCATAATGTTCATAATGATGGAGTGCCTCTGCAAATAACAAATCTTGTCTAGCACCTTCTGTGATCGATACGTGAAATGTCCACGCCCTGAATTGCTCCAACATGCATGAATAAACACTAAAGCCTCTACATCTTATCCTTATGACTTGATTATGGCTACTTATTTTAAATCACAAGTATGCAGACGTCAGCCGACATAATTGGCCATGCTGAAAGAATTTGTCATCATGCGACATGGAATTATAACTGAACTTTCTTCGATGAAGGCTCTCTACTGGTATGATAACCACCATGCTAAGTATATGTAATTTTGGCATCAGTATGAACTGTGCTGCATCACTGTATGAATTTTTGACACAATCACTAGCTATCCGTGAAATATATAACTGTTCTATAAAAGCACATATTGTTGCCAAAGAATGTTATTACCAGTATGGCATAGAATTTCTTAAAATTCAACTTTTGCAGAAGTTTGGTGCAAAATCTAATTTGACATTTTTAAGAAACAAAACAGTCGAAAACTTTGAAATTTGAAAAATTTGTACGTTTTTGCACCAAAACCCTTACGTTTATGGCAGGTTTCCCATTATGCCACAGCATCACTTCAAAAGATCTTTAAATTTATAATGCATGATTCATATTATATGATTCTGGAGTAAAATATATCAAATTTTATGCTTTTTGGCTAATTTCATTCTGTAATTTTCTTGCACTTTCACACAAAAAAAATCCTCAGTTAAAGGCTATAATTTATCAAAACACTTTTAACCTGGGAGCGCGCGTCCTCTTTTGAGTTACACGACCACGCGCCCTGGGTCCAAAAGACCCGGCTCCTGTTTTTTGAAGAAAAAACCGTTACTCTTCAGGTAAAAGTGTTACATTTATGCCAAATTTTATTATCAAACTTAGAAAATATGCAAAACATAAAAATTAAAATTTTAATTTCAATTTTTATAATATTCTTTATGAAATAAAATTTTTTAAAGGAATAGAAAAACGTATTATATTAATATAGAGTTTATTAGGAATTCATTATATTATTCAGGTTATTCACGAATTATTATTCAGGTTTTTCAGGAATATACTGCTTGAAAGAACATCTTCCTCCAAAGGCTTTAAGTTTTTCATTAATTGTTTTGAACTCACTAACAGTGTAATATTTCTGGCAATTATTCACAAAATCTTAAAAAAACTCTATAAGTGCAAGTTTATCTGATTCGTTCTTGACGACGCGAGTTCCTATGTCATCAAAACGCCAACATCTATTAAAAGGAAAAGAAAAAAAAAAAAAAAAAAAAAAAGAAAACATTTGTAGGACATACTTTTGTAGAAAATGTCCAAGCCGGTTCCGACTATTGCCAGCAGATCCCGCACAATTTACATGAGATGACTTATGTCACAAAAATATAAAAGACCTATAAAAGTGCGAATTTCAGTTAGAGTTGTGTTATGAACATCTCTCTCCCTCTATGAAAGCTGTCAGAAATAGATGCAATATAAATATTTGTATAACTGACGACTTTCAGTAGCATTAGTTCCTCTGTCAAAATTACCACGATTCATTTGGAGTCTACACATATTTTGCCTTACCGATGTTTCCAGGTAATTTAGTAATAATATTATGAGCAGAAGTTTTAACATCAGCTTTAAACTTTCTTTTTACCATTGGGTTTTTGTCTTTTCCACTAAAGCAATAAATGTCATTCTCATTTTCAGAATGCATCTCGATTTCCGAATCAGTGTCATGAGAACTAAAAAATTCATTATAACTTTCATCATCAGTTTCTTCAACAGTTGATACATCAAATAATATTTTCAAACGTAACATTTCTTCCTTATAGGATAAATTACGCGACATGTTTGCAGTTTTCTGTGCTATCACAAATGAACTACCTTGTTGTATCTCCCAATACAATTCTAAAAGGCTAAAAAAAGATCTCTCACCTTTTCTTTCTCCCGTGAGCCGAGCTTGTTCCATTCTAAATTCTTATTCGAAGCTTTTGCATAAAGACTGACATTTCTGTATAATATAAACAGATTATATTTAGATACATTTATACATTTTATATACAATTATTAGGTTACATGAAAATTACGCGCTCTCCCACCATTGAGATCCGACGATGCGGAGGAACTCAAAACACACAGGTCCAGTCGATGAGGCGGCCGAACAACTCGTCCAACTCTGGTCATCACTCGAGGACTTGAGGCAGGTTCTGAAATACTAGCAGCCTGACCAGTTGCATGGTCGTTTCTATCTCGAGATGCTCTGTCGGGGAACGGGTAATGCCGGGGCACTGGATGAAGCAGAGTTCCATTTCTTGTCTTGACCCTCGCTAGTCTAACTATCGCTCTTTACTGGGGAAAAGCTCGACTATCTTGGCTAAAGGCCAATGTATGCGTCGTCTCTGGCTGTCTTCCAACAGAACGACATCGCCTACTTGCAACTGTTGAAATTTTCCCTTCTTTATTGCCTGTTGTCTCAACTGACCAAGATATTCATTACGAAATCTGTTTCGTAGATCATGTCTTATTCTCTGTCGGTATTTGGCTCGACGGTTTAGTTCTTTGGAATCTACGTAGTCCATATCAGGAACTCCTGATGACGGCAATTCTTGCAGGAACATCATAGGGGTCAGTGGTGATGGATCTTGATTATCCTCTGATACGTATGTGATAGGTCGCGAATTAATCACTTGTTCACAGTCACATAATATAGTATATAATTCTTCATAATTTAAGGACGTTCGACCTAACACTCTTCTTAAATTTTCTTTCACCATTCGCACAAGCCTCTCCCACCAACCTCCCCACCAGGCGGCGGTCGGAGGGTTGAACTTCCATCGTATCCTTTGGATAGAAGCAGCTGAACATATGGCGTTCCAATTAACTTTCTTAAGAACACTGTTAGTCCCTACAAAATTAGTTCCGTTGTCGGAATATATCACATAAGGTCTACCTCTTCTGGCAATGAATCTACGTAAAGATTGGATGAAAGTTTCTGTAGATAGAGAAGTAACTAGTTCGAGGTGAATGGCTCTATAAATGGCACATGTATACAAGACTATCCACGCTTTAGACCCCTCACGGAGATAGAGAGGACCCGCTAGATCTACACCGACGACTTCAAAAGTCGCCCCTTCTCTGACTCGATCTTCGGGTGGAAATCCTGGCTCGACTTCCACTCTTTGTGAACAAATCTTTTACATCTTACACATTTTCTGATAATATTTCGAATACTTTTCCTGGATTTTAATATCCAAAAGTTTTCTCTAAGATTTGTCATTAAAGTGCTGACACCAGCATGCTGGAGTTCTAGATGTTTCTCGTAAATTAGTCTCTCAACAAGAAGGTGTTTTGAAGGTAAAATGATAGGATATCGGAAATTTTCATTATCTTGACGCTGTAGGACGTTCGTTTTGGCTCTTAAAATTCCATTTCGGTCTACGATTGGTCTCAGCGCACGAATAGCGGGATCTTTTATGCCTGTAAATGATTCTTTCTGTACCAATCTACAAAGTGCCTTTTCAGCATTCTCCAATTCATCAACTGAGACATCAGGAGTTAGGTTTTTATCTTCGTTCTTTAAATTGTGATAAAACCTGAAAATCCAAGCGATCATTCTCACGGTTTTTCTATATGAAGAGAAGTATTTGTAGTACCAGTCCAAATTGTCTCCATGATCTAGAAGAGTCAGAATCGTTTTCCTTTTTTCTTTGTTTATAAGTTCTTCATCAGGCTTTTCTTCTACATGGGGCCACTCGTCTTCTGGTAGGTAAAGCCACGATGGACCCTCCCACCATGCCGATTTCTGTAATTGCTCAATAGTACATCCTCTCGATGGGAGATCCGCTGGATTTAAACTTCCAGGTACATGCCTCCAATCAGATATTCTGGTAAGCGATCTTATTTCTTGTACTCGATTGTGAACAAACGTACCCCATGCTTGATCTCTTCTTATCCACCCCAAAGCTGTAGAAGAATCACTCCAGAACACTGTTTTACAATTCTTAAGTTTCAAATCTGATAGAATTGTTTTGGCAAGCCTGGCACCTATCAGACAGGAGAGAAGTTCAAGACGTGGAATCGTAAGTTCCTTAATTGGGGCTATTCGACTTCTCGCGCTTACTAACTGAACCTTTACACCTTCGATGGTTTCAGCTCTTAAAAATGCACATGTGGCATAGGCTCTTTTACTAGCATCCGAAAAAACGTGGAGCACTACGGTATCTTCGTTTTCGTAATCAATATTTAACCAACGAGGAATTTCAATCTGAGATAGCAGAGGCAATTGGTTCAACCAAGTCCCAAACTGCTCACTTAGGGGAAGAGGAAGATCTTCATCCCACTTAATCTTCTGGTTCCAGGTTTCTTGCAAAATTAGTTTAGGAATTACAGTTATCGGTGCAGTAAAGCCAATGGGAATCAAAAATTTTCTGGGTAATTGACAAAACTTTTCTTTTGGTAATAGGTTCCCTCAAGTTAAATGTTTCTTCGATCTTGCAACTCAAACTATCTTTTCTAAATCCCATACTAATCCTAATACTGGGACAACTTTCGTCGTTGTTCTCTATCTCATCGATCATGTCAATGCGAAAATTTGATCGCCAACATCTTAAATTGAAATGCCCTGAAGCCAAAAATCAATCTTTGCTTCTTGAACGAAATTTTCGGCTTCATCTATTTAAAATTGTAGAAACGTGGTGTTTTTGGATTTAAGCTAATTAACGAATTATCGAAAACACTACACCACGGTAAAAGACGGCAGAAATGAATCCTTCAAAATATTAGAAGTTTCTACAAACTTTTCTGGGAACTGTAGTCAAAAGGTGACTAAGTGTAGCGGCTAGCAGAAACGGACTTGATGTGAGTCCAAAAACAACTCGGTTATGTCTGTAAATTTTAAACTTATGTTGATTATCGAACCATAGAAACCTTAAAAAATCTCTATCCTTTTCTGCTATTTTGATTTGACAAAAGGCCTTTTCGATGTCAGATGACACTCCTATGCGATATTTTCGAAAACGATTCAATATACGTGGAATAATTTCTATTAAATTTGGTCCTTTACTCAAACAATCATTGAGAGAGGGTGAATTCTTAGAACGTGCAGATGCATTGAAAACAGGCCGTATCTTTGTAGTTTCACTAGACTCCTTTATTACAGGGTCTGTGTGACAAGTAGTGCACTCCTTCCTCTTTTTCCTCAGTTACTACCTCAATAATGTTCTTCGCTTCCCACTCATCAAATATTTCTTCGTAATCTTTTCTTCTGCGTGTGTTAATTAGTTTACTTTCGGTTTTGAAGAGGTGTCTTTCTGCCATAGTACGGTTACTGGATAAGACAGATTTATCTAAAATAAAGAGTAAGGTTACTTCATATCTCCCTGAGCTATCTCGTTTTACACTTTTTAAGAAATGTTTTCGCGTTTCTTCCTCCAAGACGCTTTTCGTTTTGTTTTCCTCACTTGAAATCCGCAAGGTGTCTAAACGCCAAAGATTGGACAAATTTGTATCGGAAACATGTAAGGACAAAGAAAGAACGGACAGGGAACTCGACGTATTCGCATTCTCTTTTATGTTCAATTCTTTCAGTGAACAATTGTGTTGCTGTGTCCGCTCATAACAGCATATGAATCTCTTCCGGGTTTTTTTTAAACAGACAAAAATTTCCATTCTCATGATTGTCGTTGATAAGGATTCCCCTTTTTTCCATTACTTTAATCAACTTTTCGTCTTTGATCTTAGGTAGTGACAACAAATTTTCCTCTGGTCTAGTGCTTCGATTTTACACCTGTACTTTCCATCTAAACTAGTTAAATCTATTTGATAACGATTATGATCTTCCGAAACTTCTACGCCCCCCAAATAACCCATGTTTAATTCTTTCAGTTCCTATCTTTTCTAATTTCAACGTTTTAGCAGCATATTGACTTATGTACGTGTTCTGACTTCCGGTGTCTATTAGCAGTCTTAAATAACCCTTTAAGGTTTTCCCAGCTACCCCTACGACCAAAGTTTGTAAATAAACTTCAGAACGGTTGCTTTGATTCGAAAGTACTTTATTTTCAACTTCCTGGACAGTTTTGATCGTTCCCTTTTTTTACTCTCGGAATTAATTCTGTTTACACATAATCGTAGAATGCTTAGAGTGACAATGGGAGCAAAAAATGTTAGAATCACAAAATTTGCTGATGTGACCCTTATTTTGTAAACACCTAAAACAAGTGCCATTTTTGCGTAGTATTTCAACCTTTTCGTCATTCGTTAGTTTCTGGGCAATAGGACATTTATGGCTTGAATGGGAAAAATCTCCGCAAAAAAATGCATGCCTTAATCAATTTTTCTTTAATACCCGTGGACAGTAAATCAGAAGCAGAAGAAGCTTTCGTTTCTAATTTATTGCTCTTTCCATCGCTGAAATGACGAGTGGTTATTTTCTGGACTGCATACGCAGACTGACGGCGCCCACTATTCGCTGTAGAATGCTCTGAATTCTTATTTATGACTTTCGCCCTTTCGCGTGAATCTAAACATTGAGCTTTAATCAAGCACAGGCTTTTAATATTACAATACGCACTTCCATTACCCATTCTGTTAATCTCAAGCAAAATATCTTCGGGAAGTGATTTCAGAATTATTGGACATAACACACTTGATAAATTCTCGAGAGACTGATCCAAATTTTCTAAACATCTTAATTCGATAGAAATATTATCATAAAACTTTCTAAAGGCGCTACATCATTCGAGATTTCAACGGTTAGTGTTCAAAATGTTATTTATGTGAGTGTAAATGAGCACATCTGTTTTCGCAAATCTTTCTTTTAGAAGATCAATTGCGGAATCGTAATTAGCAGCAGTAATCGGTAATCCTTCGACTGTATTTAAAGCAGAACCACCTAAATGAGCTTTCAAATAATTAAATTTGTCTATTTTATCTAATGAATCATTTTTATGGAATGGCAGACTCGAAAACTGTTCCAAAAGGTTAGCCAGTTGTTTATATCTCTGTAGAATTTCGTTAAGTTAACTTAGGTAATTTAATTCGAACAGACTCGTTATGTTTTGTTTCGTTTTGACTGTCAGTACTGAACTGGTTATTTACTACCGTTTCAGTAGATTTGCGTTTTAATTCGTCGATTCTTTTGGAGGTACGGAAACTGCATTTAACGACCTTTTGACGATATTCTTCAGATTTTTGGAATTCAGCATCAAATTCTTCGACTTTGAAAAGAGGTTCTAATTCTGTATCGACACTTTTAAGCGATTCGAAATTATTCTTTAATATTTCTAAATTTTCTTCCAAATCATGAATTTTCGGATCAATTTCCGAAACTGCGATTCCAAATCTCTAAGCGATTTCTTCACTGATGTTCGGAGAGCTGCGCGCTTCTTTTTTAACTTATTTAAGATCTCTTCAGACATGTTATTAACAATTCCAAAATTCAAAAAGTAATCAATAATTGTATTATTAATCTTTATTGTCTAATTTAAATTCTCATTTTTAGCTCGGGCGTCCCAGCAGGGATGCCAAAAAATGTTGTATCTCTCAATAGAATTCTAAAAGGTAAAAAAAGATCTCTTACCTTTTCTTTCACCCGGGAGCCGAGCTTGTTCCAATCTAAATTCTTATTTGAAGCTTTTGCATAAAGAGTGACACTTCTGTATAATATAAACAGATTATATTTAGATACATTTATATATTTTATATACAATTATTAGGTTACGTGAAAATTACGTGCTCTCCTTTTAACAGTCATTCAAGTTCGGGTTCAGAATTCTTACTACGTTCTTCCGTAGGATTATTCTCGAGTTTAGATGCAATGGTGCTGATAGTCCGGAGTTTAGATGTGGTGGCTCTGATAGTCCAGAGTTTAGATGTAAAAACCTTACAGCAATGCGAATAGGCGCGCTGGTTCTGAAAGACCCGATCCGATTAAAACAAAACTTCTAATAAAATTTCCGGCAAAAAACTTCGGAAACATAAAGAGGATGGCTTTGGAGGAGACTACACTGAATCACAGCCACTTGGGGAAAATAGGGACGTCTATAGAAAGATTTCTTTAATCGGGCGGATCCATTGGGCTCAGCGCACGCGCTCGCGGGTTAAATAGAATGAAAATGAATGCACATACTATGGCATGGATAAAGTTAATAACGTATCGTACTGATGTAAAATAAAAAATACGAACTGATGAAATATTTTTGAATCTTCATATAAAGTTCTGCAAATGTCCATAAAAAATTTAATGAAAAATTATGCAGAAAATCACTAGGTCCAGGGAATAAAATCTGCATAATACAGTACAAAGTCCGTAATCTGGACTTGTCGGGACTTCGGCGATTCCGGATTAGGGCTTCTTCCTCATTATAGACCATCAATTTAAATCTGGTAAGATGGCATGCAGAAATTATACAATTAAAAATATGGAACCGTAATTTATGAAATAAAGAGCAATTATGATCTAAAGGGTATCAAATTTTACAAAAAAAAAAAACCTTAATATTTATTTGTTTACTTTATTAAACATTTCTCACAATGTAAGTTGTTTAAGTTGCTTCGTTTTTTGTGCTAATACCTTCTCTTTAATTCTATAGAAAGATATAATTTCTTGTTCAATTACAAAGTTCCACTGTTCAAGTCCTGTAATTGCTGTGTCGAGAATACAGACTTACTTATCAATCGAAATTTTTTTGTTTTCAATAATCTCTCTGTCACTTTCTTCACTATTAGAAGCGGTATTTTTTGGATCTAGAACCATATTACAGATTTCGCTGTCCTTAATTGATAGATGATTGGGGCATTATCGTCGCAATGAAAAACTTCTATTATATTCCAGTTAGAAGATTAGGGAACAGCGCAGTCTGCAACATTAACTGAAATGCCTTAGAATTAGTAAAGATAATTTTAGCCTAGCTTATACCGTCCGTTATACATTATTGGCTGTTGTTCTGCTAATTTTGTCTTGCTCCTATTGCATACTGAATTAAGCCTAAATTGTATTAGTTTAGTACTATATATACGTTTATTTCTTGCACATGCTTAAAACTAATCTTCTAAGTCCTGAATAAATAAACTCCCATATGTACTTAAGGCTTTATCTAGGGCCGACGCTAGATACCACCTGGTGCAGTCTCTCTTAAATTCTGCTACAAAGCGCCTTCCTAAGTTCTAAATTTTCGCCGCGCCTAAACTTTTGGATCTCAGTGCTTTCCTTAAATTATAAAAAAACTTCTCGTCCCTTAATTTTGCCGCTCGTTGCTTCCCCAAATTCCAAAAATTTTGTCTTCCCTAAATTCTGCCGTCTGGTGCGGCCAAATTCTGCCGCCGCTTCTGGGTTAATGGTGAATAGCAAATCACTTATTCTGAATTAAAATGGCACTAAATGTAATCTTTTGGCCTATGAGTTTCATTAACAAAATCTATTTTTAGCATATGAAAAGAAATTTTTGTTGAATTTTTCCTCGTCAACATTTCCTACAGCATTAAAAAATCTGTAATCATCGCCAAGCGTAATGTTAGCATAAAAGGTTGCCATACTCTTGTTATTCAATTACTAACATAAAAAACGTTTAGACATCACAGCATGAGTTATTATTGAAACTGTCATGTATTGATAAACATGCGGTAATGAAAGCAAAATATAATAAATAATGACTCGCCAGGTCGGCCTCAGGGAAATAAAATAGGTGAATGTTTCGGTTTGAGATGTATGCCACGCAGCTCCAGAGCCAAATTATTAATCTCACAAATTTATGCTTACACGATTGTTTTTCATAAGGTATTTTATTTAGTGCCTAAGTGAAATTAAGAATCGAAATTTTTAAGTGAAAATCTCCACATGTTTTATTATGGAAGGAAAAAAAATCAAATGCTCATGCGTAAAGCATACCCCCCAAAAAATAAGTTTGTGGCTTTGAGGTCCGGATTATAGATCATTCCAGATTATGGACGTCCGGATTACGGACTTTGTACTGTATAAGTTACATTAACTCAATAAATTTCATTTACTGCTCAAAACATTCTCTTTAGTAAATACTAAAATTTAACAAGGATACTCTGTAGTCTACTAGGAAACCAAGAGATCAACTGAAAAACTGAAATTGCTGGGTAAAATCTGGAGAGTTAATAGTTATGAAAATATCTATGATATTTATCTTCTATAAGAACCTTGATGAAAAAGTGGTTTTGGTACAAAAATTATTAAAAAAAAATCTTAGTATTTCAAAAAGAGAAAATGATATAAAACAATATCAAAAACTTACTTACTTCTTCAACAAAATACTCCAGGGGTTCTTTTAAGAGGCATGGCAATATATAGAGACCTAAGTTTGTTTATATATCCAGATCAGTTTCATCAACAGACTGAAGAGCTGCCTCATTGTCACTCTTTATTTTCTTCAACAAACCAGACCGGTTTTCCATAAATAATAGTCCAAGTAACTTAGTACAGCGTTTTTAAAAAACGTATCTCTCACATTCACAGAGATCAAACGTTCAAATTCGTCAAATATATCCTCAAGCTGAAAAAAGAATTGGATATTGTTAAGTCTTTAATGCTGATATTATTATTTACTGAACTCCTTCGAAATAAGTATGTTAATAACATTAATAACTTTAATAACTTTAATTTACTTCGATCTTGAAAAGATGGACTCTTTTTACTTTCTTCTACCATAATTTGTCGATGCCTGGCTTGGGAAGTTTCATCTTCACCTTCAATATGATCAGGTGCCCAATTTACTTCACCTCTTTGTGGATTCAATTTAATTCTTTTGGGGACAGCACTAGATACAGATTTTCTTTTCATCCTATTTAATTCTACCTCTAATGATGGATCATTTAGTCTCATTTTCTTTAATTTATTATGTAATTTTATTTCCCATCCACCAACTGCTGAACCTATATGACTTTTAAGGTATGGAAATTTAGAAATAAAAGCTTCACAAATTTGTACCCTTTTTGCTTTGTTGGGATGCCGCTTGAAGTCATAAGCATAATTAGCCAAGTGACTTACAAGTTCAGAAGATTGACTTCAATTTAAATTTTTTTCTGCTTCTAAAGTACGTAACAGTTCCAAAAAATTCTGGACAGGTATTGTGATATACATTGGCCACTGAGATTTCAAATTTAAGTTAACTTTAGTTTTTGAATCTTCAGTTACGGAGTCGCTATACTCGGATACTATTAAAATATCAGAAACATTCACTGCTTCTAAAACAACATCCTGTTCCAAGTCAATCACCTTAATTTTATTCTTTTCCTCAAGTAAAGAAATATCTTCAAAATTAACATATTCTCCAAAATCATCATCATATTTTTGTAGGGAAAAAAAATCCCGTTTTATGTTAAATGTTGACTCGATCTTCAACTTCTCTTATTTTTGATGATGATTTATATTGTATCAGGATTTTCATCTAGAGAAAAATGAAACCATAAATTCAGTTAGCATTTTAATTTTCATATGAAGATTATTGTACAATCTTTAGATGAATAATGAACAATTAGCATATTTCCAATGTTTTTAAACACTAGCAGTGCAATAAATATTGTCTAAATATTGATAATGAAAATTTTTTTTATTGTACAGATTATTTTGTTGGTTTTTTTTTCATCCCTTCAGTGCATATGTCAAGATTTAAATTTAAAAAAAAAAATATTATTTTACAAGTTTATCAGGTTCTATGTTCCGCCTTACTTGCTTGGGGAACATTGAAGAACCTGACTCGGAACAGGGAGCTTACTAAAGCTGTGTTCAATAAATGTGGGAAGTAGACAAGATACACAGGAAGGGTATACGAAACCCTTTATTTTTCACTCTTTACAATAATTTCCGTACTTCGGAATACAGAGACCAACTACTTGTGGTCTGAACGTAAGAATATAAAAATATTAACTAAACTCTAACTTAACTTTGGAATAATAAACAAGGGCCTGTGTGGAAGATTGGCCGGATATTAACAGGAAGCCGTATGTAGTACAGAGAACTGTTAACACTACAATACGTTTAAAATTATTAAGAGGATTAAACCTCTGGCCTGGAAGGCAACCAGCAACCGAGTAAAAAACTGCTAAGGCAAGCGGCTTGCTTCGACTAACTCCTTCCTCTCTCTTGCTTGGCAAAAAGCCACAACTTAAGTACTTGGCGTTCGCCAAACAAATTTGAATAAATAAGTTAAAGCTTTTAATTCTGGCCGGAAGTAGAAAATAAGAAGTGATAGTAAAGATTTAAAATAAAAATAAACGATAGTAAAACTTAAGATCCTTACAAGTTAAGTTTTCCCACTTTTCTGCTTAGATCTAAAATGTGTGTACACACATATATATAATTTCCAAGTTTTCTGACTTTACAAAAATTATTTACTATACATATTATGAGATGGGACAGAAATTTTTTTTTTAGTCACAGTGCTAGACAAAATTTGTTCCATTTTCCAGACACAATATGTATCCTCAATTAACCGAATTATACTGTACATATTGTGGTAAAAGTCCCACAAACTAAATCTAACAAGGATTAAGAAAATCACTTGAACACAACACTCATAAGCCTGGACATAAATAAAGAAACTACTCACGAACTTAAAGTTTAGCTTACAATATAGTACAGCCATTAACCTTCAAGCAAGTCTACTAATGACTAGCAACAAAAAGAAACTTGAGTGGAAATCAGTAGTGGATATCAGATTTTCTTCATCACTTCATTGAGATGAGGAATGGGATACACCGAAATTTTTACGAAATTAATCAACAAAATCACAAAGGAAAAGAGAAAAATTGCTAAATTAGAATATCGTAACAAATCTTTGAAAAGAACAGGAAAACATTCAGACATGCATACACATTCATTTGTACCGCATAACAATGCAGTAAATAAATTGTAGTTTGCACCGCATAGGTGATGTTAGAAATCATTAATGTACCTACTGATATATCATCTCATTACCTCAAAAACGTTCCTTTTAACCAGCAGAAAACAATTATAAATAAAATTGATGGTTGGGTGATAGGGAATGTAGAGTCTCCAGGTCTCTATTAAACTTTTGCTTTAAGCGTGAATAAGAAACGAATGCAGATAATCTACGAAAAATTTCATGAAGAAGGAATCCAAATGTATAGCCACCGGCGATTTTATTCACCAGGAAAAAAATCCCGAAGTCCTTCTTATAGAAGTAGATATACTTATAGTTGCAAAAATATACATTACGTTATGAACAATGTAAGTTATCATAAGAACATTGGAGAATCTCTTTCAATGCTTTAATCGAAGGCTACGAAAAATAAACTGCTATAAACGTGCATATTTATGAATAAACTAGAAATATACATATATAAATCAGTACATAGATGCGAATAAATTAAAAATATACATACCTTGTATTCAATTCCACGTTCGTATTATTCAACCACCACATGTATTCAAAACGTGGGAAGAGGTAAAAACATGCTGTCGCGCTTGCGTGGAATGCTTTGCTTTGATTGGCTGTAACATATTGCCAGAAAGTGGTAAAAACTTGAACCGTTCTTGCAGTTTCCCCATTTATTGGAGCAGTTAAAAATACAAGTGAACCATCTTTTGGTTCATCCCCGAATGTTGAACCATTAAATGGTGTAACATTGCACTGAAATTTTTTACAGTGTAATCGTAGGGAGAAAAGTTTGTTTATCATCACAAAAATTAAATATACTTAAAGTATAGCTGATGAAAATTCCAGGGCGAAACAGAATGAGGGTATGAGTAGGTGGAAACAAAAAATGAGGGGCTCTTGGTGAGGAAGAACGTTCTCTTTAATCGCGGCTCTCTGCTGATATAATTAAAGCCATCAAGCAAATGTGTATCAGGGGTAAAATGAGTCTTGCATCTGACTCCTAAGAATGAATGTAAAGCTGCTGTTTACGCTTTCAGGCACATTAGTGGATATTATGGGAAGACGATGTCAGTATTTCACTCTTATTGTACTCGCTATCATTTAACGCACATTTAAGAAAATAAATTTTCCTTCCTGCGAGAATAACTAACTGTAGGCATCGATAACAATACACTAGATACGATGGCATGGCGAGAAATGAGGTTACCATATAATATTCAAGATGAATAAATACATAAACTAGATAACCATATATAATATTCAAGATGAATAAATACATAAACCCTGTTACTACTAATTAAAAATACAAATATTAAATGCAATTAAGAAAAAGAAATTCCATTTCGAGTATTTTCGTACATTAGGCATAATGCAAAGTGTACCATGTAAAACAAATATGAAATATAGCATAGTCGATACAAAATTCATAACCACTGTTAATATTAATTTACAAATATAAATACATATGTGGAAAAAGGAATTCAACTTTTCGTACACTAGGCATATTTTCTGGCATAGTCATCTGTTACAGCTTTTAGTTCCTGCCGCGCAAGCCTGTTATGTTTTAGGTTCTGAAACCTTTGTGATCAGAAATTTGTGTTTGGCTGCTTTAGCCTGATGTTTGTTAAATGTGAGCGGGAGAACGCACAGTGGCTAATGATGCTGACTGCCTTAACGATGGGCTGGGGTTCGAATCCCAGAGAAGACATAGGTATTTGTAAGCGTATAGTTTATGTGCGTCAAGGGGCAATGGTGAATTTCTGGTGTTCCACCCACATCTACCTGTACCTGTACGGTCACTGGCGTCCTTCAGATTAATTTTGCCATTAGAAAGAACCTTAGCACACTCTGTTCAAATTGTAAAAGTAAATTTTTTTGTGCATTAAAAAATTTATCTTCATCGATTCGTTCTTGTTAGAACAACTATGTCGTTTAATAGGAGGAAGTGGTACGATTGAAAAAAAAATAGAAAAGAAAAGAAACAGTAATATTGGTAACAATAATCTAAATGAATCAGACGAATTTCTCCGAGAATTCAAAAAACTCAAATAGAACTGACACTGTGTAATTAATTGTTTAACACGATGCATGACTCCAGAGAAACCACCACTGAGCTTCTTCAGTTCTCTGAAATGTCCCCGTTAATTATTTCAGCATTATTCTTTTTTAATAGGCAATCAAAGCATGCGCAAGCGCGTTTCAAACCACTGCATTCTGATTTCTTACTTCCCCGTCAAATGATCATAGCTATAGTTTGCTTTTGCTTGCTTGTGTCCTTATTGTTTGCGATTCTAACTGTAAGGACTTCCTGCTGGGAAGCCAACTGTAAGGACTTCCTGCTGGAAAGCTAATCTTGATGGCCATAAAACGCATTTTACTTCTAAAGAAAAAATAATATATACATAACAAAAACATAATATATATATATATATATACATGTGTGTGTGTGTGTGTGTGTGTAGTTAAGTACTTCCATAATAAATCCACTTTATAACAAACTCCAGGATATAACGAGCGAACGTTTTGGTCCCACCCACGGACTGCAGTTTTCTATACACTTAATGTTAGTTTATATGGCTATTGCAAACTTTCAATTTATGAACTTAATTTCAAGTCTTAACTAATGAATTAGTAACCCTTAAATTCATCCATATTTGTGATGTCAGGATTTCATGCATTTTAGAATCAAGGAAAGCACTTTCACTTTATTGTTTATTTCATATTCAAGCTTCATTTCCTGCGTTCTAAACAAAGGCTATGCTAAACAGATGTAACACCTTGTTCTTGAAGAACCAGGACACAATAAGCATATGTTAGGAGACTGTATGGCCGTGATTTCTGAGTGAAAGAACTCGAATGGGTTCTTCTATTGGGCTGTGACGAAGCCTTGCTCGAAGATGATGCTATAGTGGAAATTTTGATTTTTTTTTTTTTTTTTTTAATTATTCACGGAAAGAATAAGAAATGAATAGCTTCTTATCAAACTCGGGTTTTACAACTGGTTCGTCTTTTAGGGAATAATATTTTTTATCCTTATCGACTTTCAGTGTCAAAAAGCTGTCTATGTTCTGTCTTCTGCATTTGCTTTCTATGTAAGGGTGAAAATTCAAGTATTATTTTCAAACTCTTATCTTTTTTTAAGATTTAGGATATTTTTTATGAATTTGCAAACTTAGACATCTTGGAAGACATTATGGCATTCTCATTTTACATTTAGATTCACATTAGTGCTGAAATTGTTTCCCATTTTTCATATTTTTCAGTATTGGGAAAATTTACATATTCTTTTCACTCTCTACTCCGAAAATTGTCGCTGTCCAGAACTGCGGTGTATGCCGAGTGGCAAAACATAAAGCGTTCTATAATATTACATGTAAGGTTATAGAGACATTTAAGTTATTTCGAAGCAGGAGAGATGAAAAATGAGCAATACCCTCTCCGGGACTCGTACCACGGACCTCTCGAATACGCGCCGAGCGTGCTGACCATTACATCACAAAGGCATGCTAAGAAGGCGGGAGAAATACCTTATATACTATCTCTTTCAAAAGGCGACTGAGGATTAGGGGACTCAATTGCCAAATCCTGGTGGTGAAGAATCATCGTCCACCACTTTATTTTAGTTCGGGCGCCACCGTAGAGACATTAGGTTATTTCGAAACATTAGAGATGAAAAAATGAGCAATGCCTTCGCCGGGACTCGAACCACGGACCTCTCGAATACGCGCCCAGCGTGCTGACCATTACATCACGATGGCATGTTAAGAAGGCGCGAGGTGAGCGTTATTCGAGAAGTACAGAATGGATGTAGTCAAGTCGATATCTGCCAGAAATACAGTTTTTCCTAATTTACAACTGGTATGCAAGTGGAAAACCGAGACAAAGTAATATCTAACCATAGAGGAAAAAAAAATTTAGATTCTAGGAAGAATATTTATAAAGATCAGGCTTCAGCTAGGGTTTTCAGCGCGTGGGGATAGATGAAAATTTTGATCCCCCACCTCTTTGCTAAGAATGGAAAACGTTTCATTCTAAAATTTCGTAACATAAATTTGGCGCCCCGTGTATGCTGCGCCCGGAAACAGATTCCCCCCTTGCCCCACCCCAATTACGCCACTGCCGAGTGTGAAGGAGGATTCTGAAATGATTCACTATCCAAAGAAAGAGCTAAAGGAGCATTCTGAAATGATTCACTATTTAAAGAAACGGCAGTCTTGCATTGTCTACACAAATTGCTAATCATAAAATATATATTTAAATAAAGATGTGTAATTAGAGAGATATGACTAACTATGATTAAACCATTACTTTTTCGCTAAGTAATTTATCGTGTAAATTTATTAACATACAGTGAAACTGAAAAGCAACGTAAACGAAATGTAATAATTTAATAATTCCACGAGATAATAGCTGTAATTTACCTTTATTTTATTTTATTTTTTATTTTATTTTATTTTATTTTTAAGTTAGAATTATTATTAATTTCTTTTGAGAGATGGAACATTGGTACCACACATTTTGAGATTTTTCAACAATTTTTACACCGTTTTGTAAGATGATCACGTTTTCCTTATCCGACTACGTATAGTGAATCAAACTTTCGGCCCCTTAAATATCGCTATTGCGGAATTCTACTGTATATATGTAAAACTTAAAGTTATATGGTTTTAGTTATATATATATATATCTATAATAAAATTTAAAAATTAAAAATAAATTTTAGCCGTTATCATTTATAATCATGTGACTTAAAATAAATTCATGGATTATTAATAATGACAGATTTTAAAATAAAACTCTTGAACAAAAATTTTATTTTAAATTCATTTTAAATTTCTGTTCAAAAATATGTAATTTCTGTGCCATTACGTCAGTTTTTCTTTAAAATTCTGTTAACATCTGAATGTTTTTCTTTCACAGGCACCCACGGAGACTATGAAATTACTATGAAAATACACCTATGAAATTACTTTTTTTTTTTATTATTGCAACGTCGTAATCCCCCATGCTAATGCAAAGTGTCATAATGCGAGCGCCCAATTGCAGTGGAAGGTACTGGAATATCCATTTTACTGGCCAGATGCGAATTCTTATGACTATGATCTCTTCTCCAAAGTGAAAGAATCATTGCAAGGGATCCACTGCAGCAGTATAGAGAAGGTTATCCCGTCTTTAGGTTATCACTATGTAGTATTATCAAAAGTGCGCTTGCTGGTGGTTTATTACGCCTCATAGTAATTTATCAAAAGGGATAAACATGGCGGGCGATTATATTTAGTGATTGTAAACGTTTAAACCTATTGTAATAAAATGTTTTTAAAAAAAACCTTACACACGTGTTGCCATTACTTTTTATCCAAACCTTGTATGATAAAACGAAAAGCAGGAACACCCATTGCAGCCAGCCCGTTCGCCGGAATTTGAACTCCGGTCGAACTCTTAATGTTCAACTATCTTCTTGGGCCCTAAAGAAAAGGGAGTGCAGAATGAAAGCCATTACCAATTTGCTACAAACATTTCCGAGGTCAAAACTTAAAAAAGACAGCAGATTGCTTGCAAAAAAATAAAATAGTTGATTTGTTAATTGTCAAACATCATAAGCAGATGAATGATCATAATATGCGATGAAGCATGATTCATTTGATAACTTTTGTATTCCTGTCAAGGTAACATAGAATACGTGTGAAACGAATTCGGCGATTAGCTCACATCTGAATTCTTTAGCTCATACGCGATACAGCTCAGTTAAAACG